GGGGTCGAAAAATGACGTTTTTTATGCAAAAAGCCTCGTCTTCCCAAAACTCCTCTTACATTTTACACAGTAGGCTAATCATCTTTTGGGAGATGGTTGGTGGTGTCATGTAGATGTGCAGTAAGGTTTCGGAATTTAGATTTTGCCCCGGGGGGTCAAATGGGGGTCGAAAAATGACGTTTTTTATGCAAAAAGCCCCGTCTTCCCTGAACTCCTCTTACATTTTACACAGTAGGCTAATCATCTTTTGGGAGATGGTTGGTGGTGTCATGTAGATGTGCAGTAAGGTTTCGGAATTTTGATTTTGCCCCAGGGGGTCAAATGGGGGTCGAAAAATGACGTTTTTTATGCAAAAAGCCCCGTCTTCCCTGAACGAACTCCTCTTACATTTTACACAGTAGGCTAATCATCTTTTGGGAGATGGTTGGTGGTGTCATGTAGATGTGCAGTAAGGTTTTGGAATTTTGATTTTGCCCCGGGGGGTCAAATGGGGGTCGAAAAATGACGTTTTTTTAATGCAAAAAGCCCCGTCTTCCCTGAACTCCTCTTACATTTTACACAGTAGGCTAATCATCTTTAGGGAGATGGTTGGTGGTGTCATGTAGATGTGCAGCAAGGTTTCGGAATTTTGATATTGCCCCGGGGGGTCAAATGGGGGTCGAAAAATGACGTTTTTTATGCAAAAAGCCCCGTCTTCCCTGAACTCCTCTTACATTTTACACAGTAGGCTAATCATCTTTTGGGAGATGGTTGGTGGTGTCATGTAGATGTGCAGTAAGGTTTCGGAATTTTGATATTGCCCCGGGGGGTCAAATGGGGGTCGAAAAATGACGTTTTTTATGCGAAAAGCCTCGTCTTCCCTGAACTCCTCTTACATTTTACACAGTAGGCTAATCATCTTTTGGAAGACGGTTGGTGGTGTCATGTAGATGTGCAGTAAGGTTTTGGAATTTTGATTTTGCCCCGGGGGGTCAAATGGGGGTCGAAAAATGACATTTTTTATGCAAAAAGCCCCGTCTTCCCTGAACTCCTCTTACATTTTACACAGTAGGCTAATCATCTTTTGGGAGATGGTTGGTTGTGTCATGTAGATGTGCAGTAAGGTTTCGGAATTTTGATTTTTCCCCGGGGGGTCAAATGGGGGTCGAAAAATGACGTTTTTTATGCAAAAAGCCCCGTCTTCCCTGAACTCCTCTTGCATTTTACACAGTAGGCTAATCATCTTTTGGGAGATGGTTGGTGGTGTCATGTAAATGTGCAGTAAGGTTTCGGAATTTTGATTTTTCCCCGGGGGGTCAAATGGGGGTCGAAAAATGACGTTTTTTATGCAAAAAGCCCCGTCTTCCCTGAACTCTTCTTACATTTTACACAGTAGGCTAATCATCTTTTGGGAGATGGTTGGTAGTGTCATGTAGATGTGCAGCAAGGTTTTGGAATTTTGATATTGCCCTGGGAGGTCAAATGGGGGTGGAAAATTACATTTTTTGTGCAAAAAGTCCTGTCTTTCCTGAAGTCCTACTTAATGTTACTCAGAAGCCTAATCATCTTTTAGGAGAGTTAAATATCTTGAAAATTATGTAAAACATTAACGTTAAAGAGTAAATAAACATTGCAAGCTGGGAAACATCTTGAATTTTTATGAGTAATTAATGTACAAATGTCAAATGTGAGAGTCATATCTCATCTCAATCAAAAGTTATAAGCAAATGCAACATTTTTGAAAAGTAGGTTAGGCTTCAAGGTCAAGGTCACAGAGTAAAAGTCATGATTCATTTGGAAAGATCTTATCACAGGTAATAATATACATGCATTATAATATGAATGCCCTAACTTTTCTCTTTCAAAATGATAAATTTATAACAATTTAATTTTTTTGCAAGTAGGTCAAACTTCTAGGTCATGTAAAAAAAAAAAAAAAAAAAAACCATGCCATTCTCACAGGTAAATACAAGTACATAAGTTTAATATGAATGCCGTGTCTCTTCTCATTCAGTAGATATGACCGTGATAACCAAGGTTAATTTTATTCAGACAGAAGAACAGTCTGACATACAAATGTACATATTTCTATATGAATTGCATGGGTAAAATTGGACCAGTGGTTCTAGAAAAGTTAAAAATGTAAAAAGTTTTCAGACAAACAGATGGACAACATGTCACAACAGACGTTATATGACAAGGAAACCAGAAAAGCTCAAATGAGTGTTTTGAAAGGGTTACAATATGGTTGCAGTACTTGAAAAGCTGGGGTTTTTTTTCATGCAGAGATATGCATGACCAACATATTCATGTTTTATATTTTCTTTAGTAATTTGTTTGTTTGTTGTGAATACATATCTCATTGGAATTTTTCCGTCATATGGAGACACCACCAAATGATAATGAAGACAAGATGTGTTTGTGAAACACTGATGTCCCTGTCTGGTAGCCTATGGCGAAGGTTGAAGTTTCTCAAATATATGTCAAACTCAAAGGTCAAGGTCAAAAGGTTCAATTGTTGGTATCAGAAAAAAGTCTTGTCACAAGGAATGCACATGTGAAATAAGTAATCCCTAGTACTTCCTCTTCAAAAGTTAATTGCCAAGGTTAATTTTTTAAGTGGTTCAAACTCTACGGTCAAGGTCAAACATATTTATACCTGTTGACAGTTCACAATGAATACACATGTTAAGCTTGAAAGCCCTAGCATCTACTGATCAAAATTTAGGCCAAGTTTAAAGTTGGGTATTTTTCTTGTAAAAATGTGTATTCTAGGTCAAGTGATCAGAGGTAAAAATTAATGGTACCCAAATAAAAGGTCTTAATTGTCACAAGAAATAAACCTATAAAATGTGGAAGCCAATTGTATAGCCCATCCCACTTAAAACTTATGGGCAAGGTTATAATTTTTGCAGACAAATATACAGACATAATATAAACACAAGAAACAAAATATGTACATAATTAGTCAAATGGAAAAAAATATACTATTTAATTGGAATCACAAAATAGATTGTTATTTCAGGGATAGGGAGTGGGTAGGGAGATTGGAAACCCCCCCCCCCCTGGAATTTCCTTTGTTATTTAAACAAGACTATATACTGAAGCAAATAAAAAATGATTTTGGACATCCTCCCCCTAACTAAGAAAACATTGGGGTTTTTTTTGTTTATTTGTTTTCAGTGTATGATTTTTTTCTCCTGCTTGTCAGGAAATTCTAGGCATGAATATTTTGACTGAGATGTGAACCCCCCTCCCTACTCCCGAAAAAAATTCTGGATCCGCACCAGTATTGGCAGTAACTGAATGTCACATCGACAAGGGGAGATAACTTCACAATATGAAATTCGTCTAGTGTGGCATGCGATGATCTTTGACCATTTTTGAACTTTAACCTAATCGTTTAGGTTTATTTTACCCCCACTATACTTAAACTTGTACTTACCGACCTCCATAGGTCCTGTAAACTTCATGAAATATAAATCCAATTATAACACAAAATGAATTAATCCAAAGCACACCATTCTGCAGCATGTTATAATGATATTCCATTCGGAAAACCTCCGTGCCGTCGATTCCGTCACCTTATCAGATGAAGTGGGAATCGGCCGAGGTGTACCAAATGGAGTTTAATCTAAAAATATGATAATGGGTGACGCAACGTGATGTGATGTAGAATTTACATGTCAAGAACAAATTTTAAATTAATTCATAACAAACACTGTTTGTTCCGTCCCGGAATTTTGTATGTTTACCTTGGTTCTTTCTTTTATGCGCAGAAACGAGCCTCATTTTGATTGTCGACAACATGTGCTTCCGAGCACACTGTTTTTTGCCTCTTATTAACCTTTACATTTGACATTTTTGTCTTAGGCCACAGCGTAAGTGTTTTTCTATCATTATGTAAAAATAGAATGCATTATTTGTCCATGTCAGGATGTTTTTGGTATACTAGTGAAATTTATCTATATGTAAACATGTCTGTTTAAGAGAAAATTCGGGTTAGGTTTTTTCATCAGTGTAATCTATTTGTATCGGTATCATCGATAATTATGAATCTACTCTGCATTAATATACTTATACCTGAAATGTTAGTCTTAGGTCTAGTCATACGTAAATCTAGTCAACTGTTTATTATTTTACTATCTATGTGTACTCGTGTAGTGCATATGTACTTAAGAAGCTCAGATTTGGCTCATGTTATTAGATAGATTTACCAGTGTCAGATAAAATTATTTGTACTTTAAAGTTTATTACATTACCCTTTTGATTGATGTCTTGAAATGAGTTATTCATATTATACACATAATATGCTGAAGCATGGATTCATGTATAAAAGTATGGTCACCTGTTTCTGTCACTGTTAGTGTATGATGTAATCCGTGTCATATCATTCAGATTGTAATTCTTGTTTTTTGTTCTTTTACAGTTCTTTTACCAATATTTCAATAAACGCCTTTCAAGCCTCAGAGGTGTTTGTTGGGGTTTATTACAACAGTAGCTCTCCGGAGCAAGAGACTGTCACACTGTTTTAACAAAACTGTTCCATCTAGCCTATTCCCAAAAGTATGTACTGTGTGATTGAATTAAGCATGTAAAATAAATATAAGAGGTTCTGAGTTATAGGTCACAGGGATAATTTCATACCCAATTTTATGAATACATATGTAAATTACGGGCAGGTAGCAACCGTCCATTAAAAAGATGGTTGCCCCCTCCCCCCACTTTTAACCACAGTATATACATTGCAAGGAAATATGGGAAAAATTGGAAGTGAAAGTAATTTTGCCTTGAAAAAAAAGTGGCCACCACCCCCACACCCCCACCCCCCCCCCCTATTTCATTTTTTTTCCTTGTTAATTTTTTTAGGTTAGTAAAAATTTTCTCAGGTTGCCCCCCCCCCCCACTTTCAAAAACGATGCTACGTGCCTGAATTATATAGAATTATTTTGACTTTTTCCTTGGTAAGCCGCCCGTAGGATTGTGTATTTAGAGGCAAACACCTTAGTGCGGGTATTACTGTCTCATGACAGCATCTAGTTAAACTTTTGCCGTTAATTTTAATTAACGTTTTTGATTTTGATGCACTATCACCTTCTTTAATTTCCTCTAGGCTAAGTTTGTATTTTTTTTTGGATGTGTGAGTTTCCAAAGTGTTTCTTCAAATACGTGTTTATCAAAACCTTTCATGCCTTTCTCAAATAGAAAGTGAATAATCTCTGCTCTTTCATTTGTTATTATTTCATTTTCCCTATGCAGTCTTGCATCGACTCTGTCACTTTCAGTCCATTGTGATGGGCCAATGGATCGCATGGGAAAGGTAGCCACGTATCTATCGTCCAGCATTGCTAGTTTACATTGGCATTCGCTCTCCTTTTTGCTCTTAAAGTCGCATTCTTTGTATAAAACGATGATCTCTCTTTCAACAGCATCTGCATCTTTTTCAATTGGAACTATCCCGTCTTTCAAAAAGTTGTAAATTTTCGGTGTTTTCTCTTCAGTGACGTATACATTTTCTGATGACATCATCGTATCTTCCGATAAAATATTCATTTCTTTGCAAGCGAACTTATTGGCACAACATATATATTGCTTTTCACTGGATTGAAATATGACAAATTTTACATAGGTTGTTTGCTTAGGGCTGTCCCCCACTTGCTTGTATATTCCAGACAGCATTGTATTGTATTCTGCAGACACATTGATATACCTACATACAGCGAATGACACTTTACTTTCGCCATAGGTAGAGGTAATGGTTGCACTCTTTTTAGTGGATAAACAACGGCGGATGATTTCGAAGATTACAGACTTGCCACTACTATTGCTTCCAATGATAAGATTAAATCCTGTATTGAATTCTAATGACTGGTATTCATGATAGTGGACGAAGTTTTTAAAGATCATCGAGTGCAACATCTAAAATGAAAGAAATTCACTTAATGATTTATAATTAAGTAAGGGAAATTGAAGTTAAATTCATCACATTTATCATATAGCTTTGTTATGACATGACTTTTGTAGTCTCTCCTCTGGAAGGTGGCAAAGCCTTTCTTTGAACGACTTTGAATAGAAATTTCCCTCAGCCATGAATGGATTTTTATTATGGTGGATTGAAATTAATTCATTCTGGTTAAAACTTCAAATTTGAAAGAAACAGAATGGAAAAGTATATTTCAATCAGAAAAAATTCAGTTGGCGTACTAAGAACGTTTTACCTTTATTAAGATTAAGTTTAAACAACTGATTGTATATTTTGTTCATGATAGCTAAAATACAAAGAAAATATAGAAGTAACTTACAGTGTAATCACAAATGGTAATTTAAAATTAAAAACAACGCAACCAGTTGTAAATCTCTGTGCATGAAGAGAAAATATATCAGCTGTGTTTACATATTACGTACAGGCACTGAGTCTGATTTCCTTGTTCATATGAGGTTTTTCCGTATTTTCGTTCGTCATATGCTTTATCAGTATTTATTTATATGGAATGCATTTATTTTAAAAATACTATTTTCCGTTACATGCACTTCAAAACATACAAAAACATATCAGTATATTATTTTCCTTATCCACAAAGCATTTCAGAAAACATGGTTTTCATATATATTGTCACTCAGAAATGCATTGCCATATATTTCCTGATGTTGCAATCTTTTCTGTTAAAAATAACACAGGAAAGAAACAAATAAAATCATCGACACAAAGCAAAGAAAGCTAGAGTTTAATTACTGCATACTGCATACTGCAGCATAATCTTTATATTTCATTAACAATCAGATATATGTGCATTTTCAAAACAATTTGAAGAGAGTATCCGTAGTGAATTAATACATATTTTCCCAACAAACAAAGAGTTGAATTTGATTAAAAATGAAATAAAATACTAAGTTGATCTAAATATTACAGCAGGTCACCGGATCCCTTTTTTTTTTGGCAATCGCTAATAAATAATGGTTTCGGTTAAAATAACGTTAAATTGACATTTGAAAGGCACTTCATATTTATGTTTGTGTATTTTTGCTTAAGCACACATTTGATTACATACGATTATTACATATGATTATATATTTGTATGTATGTGTATTATGGAAGGAGGAATGAGTAAACATACAATGAAAATCCATAAATACATATATAATGAAAACATATGGATAGCTGGACAAGGAATCGAGCCCTAGACTCCTGTATTACTAGTCAGGTGCCCCAACCACTGAGCTATCTAGGCCGATGTCCTCAGTCCAGCCGACATTCTTAAAACATTAGTAACTTGTGTATAAACTAAAGAAATAAAATATATAAATATTTTGAATTTTTAATCCAGTTTATTCGATGATGATGATAAGGATGATGATGATAAGTCCTTCTTTCCAGGTTTTTGTCCTCCACAGGTTCTGAAAATAAAGACAAGCAATTCAACAAACTACTTTTTATATACAATATATAATATTTACATCCACTAGTATGTAAAATATTATTTTCTTTTTTTTTCTTAATTAATTGTTAATAGATTAGTTTACAACACTTAACAACCAAATTAAATTTAATTTTTGTGATTTGAAATTTTCGAGATGTTCCTTGGATGTTTAAGTATCCACTTCTTTTGAAAATATATTGTTGTACAATACTGCTGAAGTTTCTTATCCACTGCCGTGAATATTTTAATGAGGGGTAAAAAAAGAAGCTTAGTATCATATTTACTGGAACCCGCAATATATTTTTGTAATGATGCTTTATGTTGTTAAAGATTTCATTATAATGTGGTAATTCAAATTCATTTCGATTGTTGTAAAACAATTTTATAATTAAAACAGGAGTATAGATGGCACAAATGGAAAGAGAATAGATTCGTCATAATGAACAAACATGGCAAAGATATGGAAGCCAACCGTAGAAAAAGAACTTTGGGAAATTAATATAACCTTTGGAGATGTGAAGAGGACAGCCTAAAACAGAGAGGAATCGAAATCCCTAATCTTTGCCCTATGTGAGTCTGGGTACAACAAGGACTAGGTAGGTGGGTAAGTAAGCTTGTCAAGTCATAATACCTGTTGTTTGTACAGTTCTAGCTGTTGCCGATACCTGGACGTCAGTGACAGGGTAAGAAAGACAGGAATTGCCTTGGAATGCCGACACGGTAACATCCGGGATATCTGGGCCTAGCTCTTGTAGCAGGAATTTTTCCATTGGACCTGTGGCATTTGACTGGCATTCTGTTTGGGTATTTTTGCTCAAAAGCACACAGTCATAGTAGATAACTGTTCCTTGCACTTCCGGGGATAATAAATCTATAAGTAATGTGTTATCGGTATCAGTTGCATATTGTGCTATTTTCTGAAAGCAATTTTCAATTTTCGCCCCTCTCGACCAACCCTCATTTGGGCGATTTTGAAACGGAGCGAATTCAAAGAATGAAGTATATAATATCTTTTTTTTTTTAAATCTATGACTGGGCGAATTAAACATAGGGGGAATTTGTTTGCAGGTGTGAAAGGGCAAAAAAAAAAGACGAGACGAAAATAACCCTGTAAAAAGTAGGTGGAGTTTTCGTATAAATCAATATATCCATTTATATCTTTTATATCTCTGAACTATCATATATTTGAAAACAATGTGCAATTAAAGTAAGAGTTTGCATTTTAATTCCAGGTTTTGAATTGAAACAATAAAGAATCAAACCCACCAAAAAGAACAAATAAAAGATACATTGATATTTAACTGACCATATTTTATGCGTACTTATATTTATTTTGACTGTCAAATTCCCCGTCAAAAATCCACACATTTGTACTTTGTCTTCTGCAGACTCGTTAGGACAAGACGTTCTCTGCTCTGGAATGTGTTCCGCTTTACATTTGGGATTTGATGGCAACTTTGCGAGTGAAGCACAGGATGAAAAGCCAGGTTTCCCAAATTTGGAAACCCGATGGAAACATATGGGAATCGTGACATCAGTAGTTTCCATATAGTTTTCATTTTATGGAAACCACATAGTGGTTTCCACATAGATTCCCGACATGGAAACAATCAACCTGTGGTTTCCCGTAAGTTTCCCAAGATAGGAAACCATGGAAACATACCCTGGTGGTTTCCACATAGTTTCCCGACATGGAAACAATCAACCTGTGGTTTCCCGTAAGTTTCCCAAGATAGGAAACCATGGAAACATGCCCCGGTGGTTTCCATGTAGATTCCCGATATGGAAACAACCAACCTGTGGTTTCCCGTAAGTTTCCCAAGATAGGAAACCATGTAAACATGCCTCAGTGGTTTCCATACAGATTCCCGACATGGAAGCCACCAATGTGTAGTTTCCCCCATGTTTCCCAGGCAGGGACACTTTGAAAGTAAATCTCAATACTAACCCACCTACCTTTTATTTTACAAAAAGTTAAATATTTAATTATGTTACCATATTTTTACCAATGATAGAAATATTTCAAAAATGATTACATGCTGTATCAAAATAATTAACTTCAAACAGTTAAAATAACTAGATGTGTATTTCTGTGTGATTAATTTAATATTTCAGCACCGTGAACGCAATTCAATTTTAATTTAATTTTATTTTACTGAATTTATTTAATTTAATTCAATTTTGAATTTGATTTATCACATAAGTTTTGGTAAACTCGTATAGAATGCGTGAAGTGGAATAGAAAAAAGTAAGTGCATGCAGTTATGTAGAAATCAATCATTTCCGATCCCACTTTCTTGAAGCTGTCTATGATGAATGTTCCTTTGAAAAAATGGAAGAGCTAAGGAAGGGTACATTTAATGAAATTATTTACAGAAAAGGTTTACTAAAAAGATCGATTAAAAAGTAAATAAAGAAATGTGTCAAATTACGATTACTGATTAAGGACAGGTGAGACGTTCCTCAATAAAATAATTAAATTTTTTTCCAGTCTTTTGCAACTGACATTGAAGAATTATTTTTACATAATTACATGTATTCACAAGACATCAAGGTACCTTACTAGGCATTTGTGTTAGATACCAGAGGTTGGCATTTCTTATATATCGGGGTAATCCGTCAGGAAAAAAATACTTCAGTTGGTTTGTCAAAATTACATTTTTAGTGTTTCAAGTTTTTAAATACAAGTTTAGAAAGTGATAAAGATTTTGTTTTAATATGAATTAATATATTAATATTTACATTTCCAATGTCTTTGTCCGAGATAAAATTACCAATTGTAAATGTAATTGATTTTCTCATGAATGTTTTGGCGCGGTTCCAAAAAAAAAAACCACGTGCAGGGCGGGGCAACACCTAGAGAGAAGCAGGCTTGGAGCCCGTGGATTGGCGGAATTAAAGCATGTAAATATAAGGAATAACTGTCTTATTTTTCAAATTCATGAAGATGATCAATGGATTGGCTTGTGTGATAATTTTATGCATAAACGCCTTCGTATGCATAAATCACTTCATGAATTCGAAAAATAAGACAGTTATTCCTTAAATATAAACTGGTCAGATAAGAATCATTCATCAAATTGGCTGGGGGTTAAGTATTATCATACTAGTATTTTACTATTAATAGTGAATATTGTTTTTTTTTTAATTTATTAAATTATTATTTTTATTATTGGGGGTGGGTGGGTTGCTTTTCATTTTTTCCTTGAGAAGCCCCCCCAAAAAAACGCTTTTGAAAAAGTCACTATGGTCGGCCTGTGTAACTAGGGACACCTGTCCTCACGTGCCATTTCAGGTGGAGACACGTGCCGCGAAGACACCTGTCACTGTGTATTTTTTGTATATTTATCGTGTCGTGTATTTGTACGATTTGAATAGTTGGGGAACTTGACTCGCTGGCAGTGTAGAGGACCCTTAATGACGTAATGTCCAGTCCAAATAGGTTTGGGACGATTACTGAAATTAGACACAGGGAAGTGCTAAGTAAAATATACTGCTTTATTCAGGTCTCCGATAAGAATGGACAATATATATAGTCACCAGGTACAATAAAAATCATATTTCTATCTGCATAACGCATTACAAAGGTTGGTGCCCTAACTTACTTAACTCTGGTGACTAATAGAGTGATCAAACAATATGAAAATACTCACTCTATATACAAAAAATCGAAACAAAGTCATTTAACTAGATAAGTAGTGAAGGTAAACATTGGCTAAGAAAATTCGAACTGACAAAATGTAAACAAGTTTAAGTTAACATTATCAATATAAATAACTTTAAACCAAAATAAGAAGAATTAAAAACGCCATTATTTTATCTAAAACATCCCTATTACTTGATCAATCAAAGAAATACTTCCTAAAAACTTACAATATAAAAGTTACTCGCCGCATGGTTTTGTTTGTTCAACATTGTGCAAAGTGAAAACCAGTTTAATAAACAGTAAAATCTAAAACCTAAACTGAACAAATGATTTCCGAACTTTATTGGTTTGAACCAAAATAATTGAAACAAATTATATTAAGCCATGTATAATGATGAATGTTGACTGGGAACTATACTTTTATAAAAAGTTTAAACAATAAAAACCTTAAAACTGCATAACTGGGTTTTGTGTAATTAATTATTTAAAACCGAATTTTTTTTTTTTTTTTTACCTTAAATGAAAGCTCAAATTTCCATAAAACAAAATCAAATAGTTTAAGTAACTTTTACAAAACAGAAGAATAACTTGCAATTAATTTTAAAAGAAAAAAAAGAAAAAGATATATAAACCATTTTACCTGAAATTAGACACAGGGAAGTGCTAAGTAAAATATACTGCTTTATTCAGGTCTCCGATAAGAATGACCGAAAAAGGGTACGCAATCTAAATCGGAGACCCGGGCTTCCCTGGTCAATTTCGGCCAATCAAAATTTAGTTTCTTTGTTCTCAAATAGTTTCGTTAATTGAAATCGCTATTAAATAGATCACGTGACCGTGATCTCCGGACACTGACCATTATCCATTAATTGACTCTAACACGGGTAATCCCCTAACAAAGAAAAATCTACTGACACCTGAGTATATCTTGACTTTGACACTAGGTAAAAAAAGATGAAAGGAAACCCTAAAGGACAATTGCAAACAACGTAACACCTATCTGCAAATTTGCTTGACCCTCTGAATAACAAATTACATCATAGTACATTTTTGTGCCCTTGTTACAAAACATATCTAACAGATGGAGTTTTTATAAGTAAATTGACCAGATTTAATTATTTGTCTTGACATTTTTGGCAAACTGAATTAATGCATCAATTTATGAACGTAAATGCAAAACAAAAAATATTTTATATAGATCTTATATACTGAACTTCATATAAACCTGAAAATACATGAAATACTGATGTACTAGATACAAAAAAATTAATAATAAAAAAACTATTACTTAAACAAGAAAAACTACATTACTACTTCATTATTCTACACCTACATTATGTTATTACCTAATAAGGACACATATACCGATACACATACATAGTCATTAATCATAACAAGATAGTCATGTTGTATATTTTATTTGATAAAATAAAGTATATCAGGAAAGACATATTCTATGTGAATTGAGACGGTTTTGTACCTAAAGGGAACAATGGGCTGTCGTCGAGCATGTACACACACAGTCTCCGACCGAAAATTCTTTTAAATTAAGATGATGATTCGTGTTTCTTTTATCATTTAAAAAATTGTATATTCCATAAATAAAGTTATACAAGAGAACATATTTATAAAATAACCTAGATTTAAGAAGTTCAATGAAAGAACAAACTATTTAGAATTTTTATTTCAATTTTCATTACTGATTTAAAATAAAACTATCCTCTTTAGAAATTAAATAATTTTCTATAGGTATTGAATAGATCTTAATTCTCGTCGTGTATAATTATATTAAATCAGAATGACGTTAATAGATCAATGTGAAATCAAAACTGTATTTAATATTGTTGATGGGTTTTTTTGTGTGAAATTTGTAATCTAACGTACTACAAAGACATTTATTAGATAAATGTTTATAATATAATTCATCACATAAAACGTTTTTTTTTTTTTTTGTCTTTCCTTTTTTTGTTTAAATATGTACGCAGATCCCCGTGTAGTAAACGCCTACACTTTTCGCATGAAATTAGAATGTAGGGTACATTATATTTAACAAACTTTAAAATTTTCAGATATTTTTTTTTCTCCAAAGGCCATTGCTCTAGATAAAGGAAAGTCTATAATATTTTGCATGATTTTCTTTTCCTTAAGAACAATGGATTTTAAAGTAGTGCATGCTAAGGCAATCTATTAAAATAATTAATTGTATAATTAATTCATTGTATAATTGTCACGATTGTATTTTTGTGCACTTTTTGTTGATTTCATTCTATAAAGGTATGAAGTTTGTCAATACTTCAACAAACATTTCTTTATCTATGTTGTACACTACTTTATTTTTATTCGCCGACATGCTACTCTTTAAAAAAAAAACTTGCGTGATTAATAGACTTGATCTTCAGGCCTGTAGGAAAGTAATTTCCGTTAGAGTAATAAACTAACCGGGATTTTATTTTTACTAGTATACCTTACCAGATTTCTTAACGAAAAAAAAAAAACATTAAAGAATACAGGGCGGGACCAGCAGCTAAAGCTGTATGCATAAGTGCAGCCCTGCACATCAACGAGTATCTAGATGACTTTTGACATAATTTTTCCCATGACTTCACTTATACCAATCACGACTAAAATACTGAATTAAAATACTGTTATATTTTCCTGACTTTGATAAGGTGTTAGTTTTGTTCCACCTAGAGATATAATTCTCCTAAGAAAAAGGTTTTCAACATATTCTGATTCATTTTTAAGACAATTTTACGTGTTAAAATGATGTGTGAAATTTTTTTAGCTAAAAGCCAAGGAGTTTAAAGTACAATGTACATGTAGCAATTAGAGAAAAGTCTAGCAGGTCCACCAGTAATATTGATAGCAGGCTCAAAATCTAATTAAACCCCGAAAAGGAGGGAGTTCAATTAGTAATTTAATCCCCCCCCCCCCCCCCCCCCCCGAAAAAACACAACAATTTATTAGCAATGAATTATTAATCACCGAACTTTTCAATCATCACTATTGAAATAAAAAAAAAAAACTGTTCTTGATAATCATATTATAATTGTAGATCGTTTTCATGCCTTTTAGGATTCCTGTGGAAAGTTCACAATAAAAAAAATGTGCCTTTAAAAATTTAACATCTGTTAGTGTGACATTATAAATTCATAATCATACATGTAACAGTTAAAAGAAGCGGGGAGAGGGGGGGGGGGTACTTTCAGCAAGGACGGCCACTAAAAACAACCAAGCCCCGAAACCCATATCCCGAAGGCAAATAAGTTGAGGTGTCGAGCAAGAATTTTTTTTTCTGCTCTTGCCTCATGTATTTAACCGCTTTTTTTCTAAATATACTAGGCCTACACATCATATCGGCAAAAATATTTAGGAGCCCCTCTTTTTATTCCACGAAAAGGGGAAAACTTAATTAAATTCTAATATATAAGATCTCAACAGTTTATATTTCCCATCCTGCATCGCTCTGTAGGCGCTTTATTTCATTGGTCAATTTCCCGAGGCGCCATTTTTGGAGGATCGAGAAGGACGAAGAAGAAGGTGTAAGCAGCTGGTAAATGTGAAATGTAAAGATGGTTTCACCACCCAGTGTCTTTAAGACTGTGATAAATGCAATGGCCAACTATGAAGGTTTAGTGTACGTATATTTTTGTTAACTTTTTACGGTAAATAGTTGTAATATTTGGCAACAACAAATCTTCACTATCGGAGGCAACTTTTACTCTGACGCCATTTTGAAAAGTTGGATACCTAAGTTCTAAATTGTTAAGTGTATATATTGCAGAGAGAAAGAGAGAGAGAGAGAAAAAAAAATTTGAGACAATAGTATGATATAGCATAACTTAGATTATGGAGGCCCCAAAGGCACCGTGCATGTGCATGCTGTATGTTGTAAAATGGCAACGTTTCGCCTTTTATCATGTTTATTAAAATGTATGCTTCATATGTATGTTCTCTCTCTATATATAAATGAATACTTTTCGGAATTAAAAAAAAAATATTTTTAACCCCGCTCAAATTATCCGGATGATAATAGTTTCACCGTGCATGGTTTCGTAGTTAAATTCAGACCGTAGAACATCCGGTTTGAATACATGTGTTTTCTGACTTTTCGGATAGCCAACTCTTGTTTTTTGGAACTTACGACTTATGGCAAGGTATAAATGAAATATTATTGGTTCAAAACTTTGATAAAAGCATCGATATTTTTACAAAAAAGTGTCTTCAATCTCAGCTTATCCGATTATTCATGAAGGATATCCTCATCAGAACAGTTGGAATAGATTGTAGGGAATAGCATAACCTTAATCATATATGCATGACGATGATATGGAGGAAAAATATACATATAAAAGTGAATGTAGGTGAAAGCCGGTCCACTTTTCTGAAGAGATTAGGTTTGTTTTATTGTTTATTGAAATAGTTTACTGCTCAAAAGATTTTTTTTGTAATGTCTAACCTGTTGAGATGAAGATGTAAAAAAAGAAAAGCCTAATAGTGAATTAATATTTATAGTATGTCAAGAAATGCAAATGAATCATCAGCTTAAATTATCAGTTTTTTCACAATTATTGACCTGAGTAGGACAATGTATAGCGAATAATACATACTCTTTTCCATATCACATCCTAGCCCGAGACACCAATATCAGCCAGAGGGACAGAGGCCCTAGGGCTGATATTGGTCAAAGGTCTGATACAGGATGTGATGTGGAAAAGGGTATGTTTCATTATGTTTATTACAAACTTGGTAATAAAATACAGAACACTTCAAGTTGAGAAGATCAAGAAAATAAGTAAATAATCATGCACAATAAAACTAATTACATACATGTACACAGTATTGTCTTACTGAACAGATTTAGCTGTCATTAGGTCAAAATTGCAAATAATAAGATGCTTATTATATCTGTATATTCAGGTAACTCTTGATAGCTTGAACTTCGATTTCTCAGAAGTTCTTGATCGCTTGAAGTGAGTCTCCGGTCCCGATTTTTTCCACTATATAACTAAGCAGATTTGCTCTTGATTTCTCGAACTCCTGATCTCTCGAAACCCTTGATCCCTCGAAGTCAAAATGCAGTCCCGCTGTGCTGTGAATTTTACCCTTGATACCTCGAAGTGGCTGTGTGTATACCAAGTTATAATGTTCAAACTTTTGCCATAACTGTATATCTGTGTGTCTGTCTGAGTGTCTGTGGTCAACTTAAACCTTCACCATAACTTTAGAACTATACGAGATAGTGGCTTCATATTTAGTATGCATACTCCACTAATGAAGTGCTTTCAAATGGCAACAAGGACAATGATTATGTGATCTTGACAGTGACCTGTAACAGTATGCTAAAAAAAATTGCATTTTCGAACTTTGTTGCTGTGTTTCACAAGCGCTTCTTGTTTTTAGCTCTACTTGTCAGAAACCAGAAGAGCTTATGCGATAGTAATGCGTCCGTCCATCTGTCTAGCTGTCCGTCCGTCTGTCTGCAAACACTACTCCTCCTTAAATTTTAGTCTGATTTCAATATAACTTGGCACACAAGTAGACTATACTAAGATACATAATTCTGTGCATCAGTTTTTGATAAGTACAAACCAGTAGAGCTACAGTCTTGACAGAGATTTCTGGTTATTTTTTCTTCCATCCCAGTTGTTGCTAATGCTATTACATAGTTAGTTTAAATTAGAATGCAATAGTACCTGGACATAATTTATCATTTCAGAGAGAAGAAAACTGTGTGACTTTAAAAGAAAACCAGTGAGATAAAATTATAGAAAATGTATGATGATTCAGGATGTGGTCATTTGGTAAGTGGTAATTCATTCATGATTAGTATGTATATGACAATTGCCTGAAAAAAAAAGATTCTAAATTTTATTTAAATACTGAACTGTGGTATATCAGCTGTGAGCTACAAGAAGTTTTATGTAAAAGCTAGGGCTGAAACAATTTGCCCCCTCCATGTTATGTGTGTATTGCTATGATTGACATACAATCAGTTCTCTAATACACACACTTCAATAAAACTTTGTCGTCTTGAACCTGAATTGAACAGGAAAAAACTCTGAGATCTCTACAAAAATTTGAATGAAAAAAAGGAAATGCTTATTAACTGATTTCTTGCTGGTCAGTATTTTGATTACTTAAAGGAAGCTCTAAAAACTGCACACTAAAGAGTTCTACTTTAATATCAGGTAGTTTTATGAAGTTAAAGTGATCTGCCCATAGATTAAGATTATGAAAAATGTTATTTTACAGTCAGTTAGATTATTTTTAATAGATTAAATTATTTTTAGCATTATTTAAAAAAAAAAAAGGAGATTAATTATTTTCTTAAATTTTCCAATGTAAGTAAACAGCAATGATTTCTGCTTACAGTCATAGTCCATTGTCTTTGAAAATTTCTTGGGGAAATGAGGCACATACTATATGTTCTAAATGAATAAAAAAGGCTCATTATGCACATATTTATGTGAAATATGATAGATTTTTTTCTCTTCAAGGAATAATTTCTGCAAGTCACTAAGTTTTTAGAGTTTCCTTTATTTTATAGATATTCAATGAAATTATTTGAAGTATTAAATTTTGGTAAATTTTATGATACTAAAAGGTTATATGGATGAAAAAACAGCATGCGTGTATGACAATAGGGCTTAAATTTTTAATGTCTCTTCATTTTTCAGTGACAGTAAAACAGGAATTGTCATCACCAATAGACGAATTTCACATTCCTAAGAGTTTCCTCCAATTGTCGGCGTATCGCTCATTTTCCCCACTTTGTCCTTTGTAAGTTACTTGTTAATATTTTCAATCTTCAAAAATATTGGACAATTACGATCTGTATCTGTATTGCCAGAGTATGGGGGCAACATGCAAGTCATAATGATAATGTTCATACAGATTTTATTTCTAAGATATTGTCCCTCAAAGTTGATACAGTTAAAGAGGGAAAACAGCGTCTTAAGCAGGTTGACCCCAGATCGACCCTGCGAAGGGGAATAACTTTTGTAAATGTGAAAGTCCTTTGTGGTATATCATATAGATCTAAAACTGACTGAATTTTGATCAGCCAATTCATGAACATGATGAATGGATGTAAATAATGTTGGTCAATATATGTAAAAAAAATTAAATTACTTGTTTACATATACATTTGTGGTATCTCTCCCATTGAAGTTTATAAACTTGTTATTTATTTCTTAAATAAACTGAGCGTACATGCAATACCGGTATAAAATTACTCATAAGATACATGTATACTTAAACCATGATAAAATCATATGTGTCCAATGCAGCATATGATAAATCATCAACATACAAGTACATGTGTATATATACTGTAAAACATTATTTAAATTTTGGATATACTGTAAAACATATATATTGCATTATTTTTAGGTCCTGTTCTGTGGATGCCCTTAGACATTGTCTACCCATCACTCCATCTGAAATCACTCGTTCTGTGCATATTTCTCTCTCAAACTTAAACTACAGAGAGCCTGTGGATAGAGGATGAAGAGTGACCTTGGACTAATTTTCTAGGTCAAAGGTCAGTATCAAAATCTACTGTATATCTTTTTTTAAAATCGTAGTCCAAAGTGTATTTCTCCCCTGGTGTAATCTAGCTTTTGTGCAATGGGGTGGAGGGTCTGCAATGATCTTCAACCAATTTCTAGGTCGAATATCAAAATAAAAAAAAAAATCTCTCCCTAATATTTTTGTTATTATAAAGGGTACTGTATACAGGGGAATTTTCGCCCACGTTTTATTTTCGCCCCTTTCGCCCTACCCTTATTTGGGCCAATTTAAAACGGGGCGAGTTCAAAGAATACAGTAATATTTCGTTAACAATAACTATGACTAGGCGAATTTAAAACGGGACAAAATTGTTCGCAAGTGTGAAAGGGTGAAAATAAGACGGGGCGAAAATAACCCTGTATACAGTATGTTTTCTCTCAAACTAATCAAACTTAAAGCAGGGTTCTTAGTATGAGATACATGTAGTAATATATTCTCAATGACATAATAAGGCTGAAAACATTATTTATATTATGTTATTTTTTTCACTTATCATAAAGTATTAAATGTTAAAGAGATACATTAAATGCTGAAATCATATGTATCATGGTCATGGAAAGTAATTATTGATATTGGTATATTAAAGGACATTGACTGATCTTTCAGATTTCTAAGTTATATTCAAGCATTATAATTCTGACATCATATAATAATTTTGTATGAATATTGCAGATCATAGGTGATGTGAAGAAAACCAGGAAACTGATGTTGAAAGAAGTACTTAATGACCCTTATGAATGGACTTAAATGTGAAAGACTGTTCCATTGTTTATCTAAGATACAGTAAAATTTGTCTAATCCGGACTCTGAGTACTCCGGACTTTTGTCCATTCCGTCCGTAAATTTTAGTCCCATGCACTTCTTTAACAAATTCATTTTAAAAAATTCTGTGTAGTCCGGATACTGTCTATTTTGTATTCCGAACGGCCATACTGGTCCCAACTGCTCATAATTAACGGTAATTATTCCCTCTAATCCGGCCACACCAGAGTTACTTCAAAGCAATTAACACCTTTCGTCCAGGGAATGTGATAATCTGTGTTTACATTAGCATGATTATTAGTGCCATGAGACGAACTCGGTGAAATGCGGCGGTGACACAGTCCACTTGAAAAATATATTATATGATTAAATTACAATTTAAAATAACTTTGTTTTAACTCCTTTTACCACATTATAACATAAACACAAAAATATAATTATGTACGCGATTTACAAATCAAAATATAAATCGGGATCGAAAATCGAACGCATTCAAAATGGCGCCATGACACTGTGGGGGAAGACATAAATTTTTACATAAAATTAAAAGTTCAATCTAATAATTAGCACATCGTAAATAATTGTGCATTACTGTCAATACATTGAACGAGGTCTTTGACAAGCGAAACCAGGTCCGCTTGATACATAGTAGGCCTATATTATGCGTGCCTGTATATTTTGATTGAGGTAACATTTCACCCGACTTTTAAACTTCGTGAACAAATAAGAAAATACAGCAAGTCATGTGAGACTATTTTATAATTTCTAGACTCCAAAATAGTGATTGATTTCATCTTTTATTTTTATTTATGAAATGTATATAATGTACTTGTTAATAAACAACGAAAATTTTTGAAATTGATATTTTCCTGCATTTTTCCTGCACTCCGGATTCTGTCTAATCCGGCCAAATTTTATGGAACCGGCGGTAGCCGGATTGGACAAATTATACTGTATATGAATTTATTTAATATTTTGATATCATTGAAAAATTCAGTTACAGTTTTTGTACATCAAATGAATTATTAAACATATAAAATGGTAATGCTTTTTTCTTTTACATGTAATAAATTTTTTTGATAGATTTTTAAAAGAATACGCATTATTTCACATTGCTTCCTTTAGAAAAGTTAGGGAATCTTGAAGTTTCCCAGTAATTTCCACCAGGAATGAGACTCCAGATAATTCCACCAAGTTTCCGCCACACAGAAAGTGCTACACAAGTTCCATATAGTTTCCTGAGTCAAGGAAACTTCAGGAATCATAAGGTTTCACGAGCTTCCATGTAGTTTCCCATAAAAGAAAACCTTAAGATTCCATCAAGTTTCCATTCCACGGAAACCACTACGCTCATATTCCATATGGTTTCCTGAGTCAAGGAAACTTTAGGAATCGTGAGGTTTCCCGAGCTTCCATGTAGTTTCCCGTATAAGGAAACCTAAAGATTCCATCAAGTTTCCATTCCACGGAAACCCCCTACGCTCCGATTCCATATGGTTTCCTGAGTCAAGGAAACTTTAGGAATCATGAGGTTTCCCGAGCTTCCATGTAGTTTCCCGTAAAAGGAAACCTAAAGATTCCACCAAGTTTCCATTCCACGGAAACCCCCTACGCTCCGATTCCATCAAGTTTCCTGATTCTGGAAACCAGTGGAATCTTCAGGTTTCCCATTACGGGAAACTACATGGATGTTCGGGAAACTTCAGGTTTACAGAGGTTTCCGTGGTTCGGGATACCTTATGGAATCGGAGCGTAGGGGGTTTCCGTGTCACGGAAACTTGGCGGAATAACCTAGCATCCGCTACGGAAACCACTGGGAAACATGATGTAAACTTGAGGTTTCCATGTGGTTTCCATAAAGTTTCCCATGATGGGAAACCACTTTTTTCACCCAGTGAAGCATAAAAGCTGTTTGACTCCATATGAAGGCATTTAGGACAGAGGGAAGCTGTAATGGAATTTAAGTTCCTTTTCTATAGCGTGATGCTTTGGCTTACACAAACTCTAGTTAATCAATGAAAGACCCAATAAACTAAATGAATTTCCTCGTTTTTCCTTTATCTTTATTTTTTATACTTCAAATTACAATACGCGTACTTCAAATAGAGGGCTTCAAACCTTTGTGCCTTTAAAAATAAAAACATTAATGTATACAAATACAAACCCAAACAGCTTATAATTAGTGCTAATTAAAGCCAACCACTCACAACCCTGTGATTGCACTAAATCGTAAATACATTAGTTTTGTAAACGTTAAGTAACTTTTCTAGTCATATCTCAAATACGTACCCATACAGTTCGGCACTATAGACACAATCCAAAGTACACACGTGTAGACAGTCCACTGCAGGGTCAACAGAGAACTTAAATATTTAAAGTTGTAGGGTTTATGATCGATTTAGTTACTCTCTGTTTCCCATTGTACGACACACTGTTTCGACCAGGACTCGGGAACTTGTGTCTAATAGTCTCGAGTGAGTCATCACGAACGGAAAGGGATTCTGCAAATATGAGTTTTGAGTACTTATAATCATTAAGCCATGAAATGATAAAATTAACGGGAAAATGAGTAATGATATTATTTTTCTTTACGTTTAACAGATATGCTTCACCGATATCAAAAACACAGCTGAATGAATTATTTACATCAATATTATTGATGTTAGACTTTTAACATGGGCATCAGCAAAGCGGAGCATCCTTTCGGAAAGAGCATATCTATAGTAAATTGATATTAAGATCATTTAATTGGGGGGGGGGGGGCGGAATGGGCATAAAATATTTTTAAACAAAGCGAAAAAATAAAGATTCTTTGCAAAATGTTTGCCCCCAAAGCATGAAAACTCAAAACAGTCAATTGAAAATAATTAAACTGACTCAATTAAACTGTTTAATTATTATTGCAGATTTGTATGCAATCTAGCGTTAATCCAGTTTATGTACTTGCATCGGTGATCGTTTGTTACGGAGCAAAGTGATTTTACAGTTGACTCTGTCGAGTTTTAAGCCGTTTCAGCATGTTTTCGCAAATAATTATTCGTTTTGTGTAAACTTCTTTTATACGTCCGCTGCTCAGACAAGTGATCGTATTATCAATTCACAAAATATAATAGGATATGCTCTTTTGAATCAAGAAATTGAATTCATATAATCAAGAGCTACAGAATAGATATACCGGTATCAAATGCTGCAATTATTAACACGCACATTCAAATCAAAGCTTTTTTCTGCACAAAGATTCACGTAGCATGTAGTGATTTAATTATATACCTCATTTTATCTTGCCTTGTTCGATGCCATATGACGTTCAAGAAATTTCTCTCAACAGTGTTTAAGGCAAAAAGTGGGGCCTAAAAAATAAATTGAGCACTTTAATCATTTATCCAAACTTATGGAAAATGTGAAAGTGAATTAGATTTTATATACGTATATGAAATATATGGGGATAACGAACAGTATTCAAGCTCAAACGTCCATAAAAACAATACAAAATAGGAGAAGAGCACACAGGGGCCGCCAAAACATCACAGGTGGGATCAGGCGCCATGGAGGAGTGAACATCCCCTGTCGACCGGTCAGATCCTCCGTGAGCTCCCTATCATTTTTTGACTCAACGATAAATTGTATTTGCTGACAAGGTCACTGTATCGACTATAGAATTTACGAATAGACTTTAAACTTAGTCTAGACTTTTGGTATTCCTCTTTCATCAACTTGTTTTTCAAAAATTTTCCTCGATT